AGATGAAAAGTTTATCTAAGTAACCAAAATAGTTTTTTCACAACATTATTTAAAGCTTTTCTTGGAGAGACTCTTAAAGGCTACGTATAGATATGTTTGGATAATGCTATCTTGTCTTCTTATGTTGTCAAACTATGAACAATACACATTTGAAACATAATTGATGAAAAAGTAAAAAATCAATCTTAGCATTTTATCAGATTCATATTCTAACAATTTAAACATCTTACACTATCAAACAATCTAACAAAATAACATCGTGGATGAGAAAGGAAATGTTGAGTACTTGTTAGATTGATGGACTAGCTAGCTAGCTACTGCCCCATTACCACGTACATGTGCAATTAGGAATCAACTTTTTGGAGAGTTATCTTCATGGTTGCCAAGACTGGTTTTAGTGGGGAACAATGTTTGTAACACTCAGCAATATCACGTATTAGATGGTGCTCGAAGAAGGTGCGACGCACACATATATGCAACACACCCATGGGGCGGATGGAAATAGCGACTAACTAGAATCACTCAAGTCTAAAAAATATACATACGAAGATCTTTCGAATATTTGGAACGGATTTCTTTTGTGTTTATTTGATGTAATGAATGATAGGCATATGTCAACATGTTGTGTCGATAACACTTGACAAATCTTTCTATATCATTTATCATATTGTTTTTGCATATGCCAATATCTATTAACATGTGCACAACAAGTCCACCAAGTGATTAAACAGATGTTTTTTTTACACACTTTGCATTTTGTTCCTACCTAAAAACTTGTATTTAACATTGGGATCCCCCAAGGTTCAGATCCTAGACACGCCACATAGGTATTTAGTTAGCTCACACACATGTAGGTATATATGCACACCACTACTTGACCTAAACTGTAAATCCTAAATGAACAAATTAAGTTGAGGTTTCACAATAAAATTAGTTGACAAATATATGAAAAGTAGTTCAACTCCTTATAGGCACATATAAGGTCTTTTTTTTCTTTTTTTTTCTTCCTATGATTCATATACCATGCACCGGCACGAAACACTAAATGTACTGTATAGAAGGAATTAAATAGGTATTTCAATTTTCATGCATAAAGATCGAGCGTAATATCTCGGCTTGGACTCATTTATTTAGAAGCATAATCATGAGGCTGGTCATGATATAGATTGTGTGAGATCTAGTCGAGTCCAAAGTAAATCCAGTAGAAAAATATACTGGGAGATATTAGGTCTGAAGTTCATAGGAGGTATTATATATATTATGATGTAAGATGAGCAAAGTTGCGGCTATAGATATCGACTATAGATTTGCCCTAATGCATGCAAAACTCCAGAAAACAGATCAAATAAAGAGGAAGATTTGTGCTCGGATTGTCATCATAATATATTTCTGTCACTCGGTCACTTCTTGGTTTGCGATATGCAATGCATGCCTGGAGAGAGAGAGAGAGAGAGAGAGAGAGATGAGTCAGGTTACTGGTGGTGTCGTTTGATAGCCGCCCCAAAGATTCACACACAAAATGCAGCTCCCTTTACAGATAACAAAAGAGACGAAGGCCATATGATATCTCACCTAGACCTAGCTAGCTATAATATGATATTCATATAACATATCCAAAGTTTGGGTATTATTATTTAAGAAATTCTGCAGTACTCTTCACAGAAAAATGCGATTTCTATTCATTTTAATAAAATAAAAAGAGTAATTTAGACCATTGATTAAATTGAATGAATTATCTTGTTCATTAGATACATTTGAATTAACTAAGATCATTGATTAAGGTTTAGTTATTTATCTTGAACGTTATAAAAGTATATTAAAATCATATATCATGACAGTCTTTTTATAGCATAGATGTAAGCTGTTATTAGTGTACATGTGAAATTACCAATCAACATTATTCAATTTTGGGCCCAAAACCTTCACATTTAACTGTCTTACAACATGATGTTTAAGTTTGAACGTGATTCAAGTTGAATAATATTTTATTTTTAATTAAAATTTCACGTTGGATAATGAGAAAATATGATATAAATGTATTTTTATTGCATAAAAACTTAAACTACCGTCTTACAAAAATATAAATAATATAAAAATCAAATAATATGTCATACTAATTAAGTCGGGTTGGATTATTATTATTTCGAATCAGCCTTGTTCCATAATCCATTTATAATCGGATTATTCGGATAATCGGTTTGGAAGTAACGATCCATATCCTATTAACTGCATAAATTTAGATCCAAATCCAATCCATTGACAAGTGTTATTTGTGTACTAGAGACAAGGAGAACAAGATATGCACTTTGTGCGTCATTTTAAATTAGGTCTCATACGCTTTTATGTATCTTAAAATTTTCATCAGTCCTCATATATTCTTGATTAGAAAAAAGAAAAAAAAAACTCTTATTCTCGTAAATCTAACTTGATGCACCTTAAATTCAAGTTATTGTGAAAAAATCATATTAATTAAAGTACTAAATTCGGAATGCCTCATTTCATTTTCAATGTAGGCATCAATTTGCATTGAGACAACTACCAAATCCGAAATCCCTAAAGCACATGTATGTTTTGACACAATGTTATAAATAGTACATGTGGTTTACCATGCACGTTAAATTTACTATGTGATTTTAAAGATGTTGAAATGAGTCAAGCTGAACGTCGACGTTAAATTAGTTAGAGAATATATTTTGTTTTTGTAACTAAGTTTAGATATTTCTTCCAACAATTCAAATTATTTAGTTAAAATATGAGGATTGTATATTCGGCTCGTAAAAACTACTGCATGAACCAGCCGTATATCTTTCGTTGCCTTTAGATTAATAAAGAAAAAGTCGACACCTACAAAATTTTGCCAAATGCAATTCTTCATATTCTCTACTAGTGTTTATTCAATTTAGAGGCCGTTTAGTCACTCATGTAGAATAAATAGATAGTTATAGTTATAGTAATAAGCATTATTCTTATAATGAACTTTTAATTTCTTTGATTTATACGAGCACCTTCCTCCTTCCCGGGAAGGAGGAACAATTCTACCCATAAGTATGTGTAATCTCGTTGTAATGATGTAGCAGATAACATGTTTCATCCTCCGTACTCAACTACAAGTGATCTTTAGACTTTAATTAAATCAAGTGATTAGACTAATTGAACGAACGAAACAATGATTATATCCAAAACTAAATGTATCCAATATCTCCATAACCCCTCTTTGGCAAGAACTGAGTTCTGCCGCCATCAATCAGTCGTTGATCGAGAAGATCAAAGATATTCCATATAGCCAGCTGTGGTCTTACTTCCATGTAATCCAATAAATTTGCCCTTTTGGGGTCGTTTGATGAAATATTTGTGATATAGCTATCCCCAATTAGTTATTAAAGAAATTTTTTGATCAAGCTGCTTGATTACGTGACATATTGACTATTTAATTTCAACAAGCTTATTGTTAAGTCACTGCTATCAATGGTTGATGTCTGAGTAAAAGATAAATGACAAATATATTGATGTGTGATTGAGTGATCAGACAATACAGGTGCTTAGGGCAACTGAAGCAAGATATTCTATATAGGCAGCTGTGTTCTTGAGGCTTCCTTGTTCAATGTTTGTTGTTATTTAAAGAATAGTAGGTTAATTAGTTTGTCTGACTACTTTAATGTTCTGCAACTCAATTGACAAGTTATTAACTATAAACAAGTCGTATACGATTAATATTTTTGATACTTCAAATACATAGTTATCGATAAGATATCTTACTATTGAAAGCCTAAATGAAAAGTAAATGATAATATTTTTGATACTTCAAATACATAGTTATCGATAAGATATCTTACTATTGAAAGCCTAAATGAAAAGTAAATGACGATTTGATAACATCTTATTGGTTGTTTGGATAAGATACAAGGTAGCTTTTGCCTAGAACAAGATTTTCCTTGGCGATTGTTCTTCAATCCAACTACAAGACGATCCTAGTAGGATCCAAATCAAAAGTTTTAACGTGCCACATCACAGTTCCTGCTGGCAATTCTCCAAAGATGTTTGAATTAAAGGGTTATTTTTTTGTGGTATCTAAGAATCTACAGTGCCCTCAAATGGGCTGCTAGACCGTCACAACTCTTTACAAATTATTCTCATGAAAATTGGTGGATCAAATTATTCTCGAACCTGACAAAACCAAATGTCGGTCACAAGAATGTCCAGATTTCTTAGGTCCCCAATTGCTTCAGATCATTAGGGTTAGTAGTTTTTCTTTGATCCTTTTCGAGAGTCAAGATCAAGGATGGCTTTGCTTACATTTCACCATAGCTTGCATTTGTATTTGATTGAATGAGTGCCGTGGAAACGTACTAAAGACGGCTACAAAAACCGTACCATATCCCATCTAAAACCAATTTTAGTGTAAAATCAATTTGGTACGGTTGGTAATCGGGACAAAAATATACAATCCTCTAAGCTATAGGTGAGCATCTGAACCGGAGAAAAAGAACCCGTAAACTTTTATGGCTTGAACCGATTTGGTTTCCGGTTTTAGTGTTAAAATACCGAACCGGACCGGTTATCAGTGTACATGTAAGAAATACTTTCACAAGAAAATCTTGGATGAATTTCATGATCAGATCTTCAAGCGAAAAGGAGAACATGAGACATGATTGAGATTTTACTGCCCAGGTTTCGATCAATATTGACCCATATACTTTCCTGACCTGCTTTTCAATAACCTATGTTTGAAATTTTGTGTTATGCATGGCTTCAGAGGTGAACCGATCTGAACCGAACCGTTCACCTCTGAAGCCATGCATAACACAAAATTTCAAACGAGTCAACATCCCATTCCTAACGCTTATGAGGGCCAACAACCCATTTTGATAGTCCTCTAAGTTTATCTTCATCTGTTCTGCCACCCTCCATTACTGCCATCGTCTCCTCAGTCGCATTTTAGTTCAATAATTGTTGGATCCGTGTTGGTTTTTTCGCAAATACGATTTCAATACACAATCATGAATCGATTCAAAGAAATGAACTATAGATTGAAGTCACCATTGGAGGTACATGACAGAAATTTATGACCAGATATGTTTAATCATGAACCAAGGAAACAATAACGTCGACGACGGAACCTATTTAAGAATGCAAATGTAGTCCTATTGAACTGAATACTAGTCTAGAGATGCTGCTGTGATGTTAAACTTCATTCTATTGAGCACATGTAAGGAACAAACATTAAAAAAAAATCCATTGAACGATTAAGTGTAAATTGGGTTATAACAGAAGAAATCCTCCGCCGCCCAGTGGCTTAGGGCACTGACGTATGATCAAAAGATCAATGAGCCTCTCGGCATGGGGGACTGTTAAACTGAATTCGATCATATTGCAGACTGCACTCCACAGAAGCTCGTCCAATGCCTTGTTTAATGGGGAAAAATGTCAAACCTCATGCCCCTTGTCCATACGAGTTTTCAAGAACTCGAACTCCTGGTCCATATATCAAACGGCATCGCTCATTAAATGAACCAACAAGCTTAGAGACGACCTCCTTAAAGAATACCGATGCCACCTGGGACAAAAATCATTGCCACATCACAATTCTTAATCTACAGTTCACCATGATTTAAATTCCAATCTTCAAACTTCAGACAATGAAGGATTCAGGATAAAACGGTTACTGAATAACTGCCGCGGGAGAAAGTTTAATACTGAATAAGGAACCTTACCTGTCGGTAAAGTGGCGACTGGAACTTAAAATCCACCAAGAAATAAAGGCTGCAAGATCCTGGAACTGGCCCCGGATTGAATTCCCAGATGTTTATGAGATGATCGAAAAGGGAACTATTTGACACAGTGGTCTAGAATTAAAAAACAGAAATAGAGACTATTAGAACAGAAATTCCAAAAATGAAACCAAAAGCAAAGAAACAATTTCAGGGTATATTCAGTAAGAACCACTTAAAACTCTAGATAGAAAAATATCATCAACTATCCAACGACTCATAAAAGTGACTGTGAGATTTTTCTTTTCAACCATCAGCAGCAATCTATTGTTGCTTTTATTTGTCAATGTTTAAATCAAAACTCACAAACATACTTAAGATTACTTCAAAACTCCAAATGTGTACAGTGGGTACATTACTCTTTGCTCACAAACTCACTAACACAAAAACCCACGTCTCCAAGCTCCTAAGTGCTACAGCAACATAATATATATAAATTAACTTCAAAACCAGTGTACTAAAACCCAAGCCGAACTCCTTCAACAGGAGAAGTGAAAACCAGAGAATATTACCAGGCAACTACTACAACAGCTTATTCAGATATTCTATGATAGTTAACTTATACGTCTCAGGTATTTTGTTTCACAAAGTTAACAAACCAGAGTATATTCCCATGGAACAACTACAATACTATTGATTATCTATCAGCAAGTGGAAAAGTAAACAAACCAATGGTAATGAAAAACTTAAAGAAAGAATCATAGCAAGCTTGAAGAAAACTGATTGCCTTTATACGCTTCGGTCTCTCTAATTCGACATGTGAGATGTAACTTTCAACAAGAAATTTAAACCCAATCTCGAGCTCAGCATCAAATGATCCATCAGGATAGTTTTTAATTATGGCAGACCGCTGACACCAGGGAACGAAACCATCATACAAGTCTACCGCAGCAACCACATCGTATAACTGCTCTGGAGAATACCTAGATTCCAAAAATGCATCAGCCCATGTCTATCTCACATTGTTATCAAATGAGGGAAACATCAAAACGATACAAAACTGAAATTCAGCATTCAAGTCTTTCATGGTTGACAATCAATTGGGTCATTAAGTAAGGCAATGTCAAACATTGTAACGCCACAGAACATATCAAGAACTCCGTTGCTATGGAATTCAACAGAAATTCTAAATACAGGTAAAATCGTACAAAGCAGCTGAAATTGGGGACGATCAGAAAATTGTGAAATTGATGAAGGATTACCCCAATACGCGCCTCTCCTCATAGACTTTGGATAATACGCCGCCTTCCTCGCCGTCACCACAGCCGAGAAATTGCCTCCGTGACCTGTAATTGAAATCCAGCTGGGAATCGGCGGTCCATTTGCGGACCGATGACGAAGGGGTTTCTATGCCTGCAATGCTACTAAAGCATCGAATTTGGTCAAATTTCCGGCCGGAGCGGACCAGATACCTGGCACCAATTTTCCGGGAGAGCAAGGACCTCACCGCCTTAGAGGTCGTGCTCGACCAGAACGGCGGCATTGTGAGTTTCGGTGATCAGGAAACCCTAATTACGATGGGATGGGATCGAATTGACAGGAGATTGAAAGCCCCAAATGTTTGGAAAGCTTGAGACGGAAAAGCTTGAGATTCGGAATCCGACTAAGGGCCAGGGATTTACGTGAGAGAAGGAGAATTATTTACCGCGTAAATCTCAGACGCCGAGGGATTAGATTTGACGGTGCACCAAAAATCGGATGATACGCATGCGTTTTTGGCTTTCCATTGGTGTGACGTGTCTATATTTTAAACTATTTTAATTTACAACGAGATGGTACAACTCGAGTAGAAAGAGACGGATATGATGTCATATCCAAACACGTAATCCACACGTTCTGAATTCAATTTTTGAAGCTAGTAAATGAAATATTTAATCCAATGAATCTAGCACTACATAATCATTACTCTCGAAAAAAGAACCTGCTTGTCTTTTCACCAAAAAATAAAAAGTAGGTCGTTGTTCATACTCCATCCCGGAAGTAGTTGGAACAGCCAACTTAGCAATAACAATCTGAAAGATCGCTAACAAGAAGGGTGACACTATCCCTCTATTATCCCTCTATTAGACAGTTATCATGCGATATCACCTGTTATGAGAGAGAATCTCTCCCACTAGCGATCAACAAGTCAAAAGATGGCGTTTACCTTGTTTTCGTAGAAATCCCCGACTTTCAAGCAATACATGAAGTTGGATTGTCTACTCTTCCATTTCTATACTCTTCCCATACTCTCATGTTTGTGTAATTACGGTTAGACCAAGTTAACATTTTATATTCCTATTACGATTTGTTTTATTATTTCTATAAAAAAATTAATATAAAATATTAGCGTAACTTAACCGTGACCACACATCACAGGAACGCATGAGGATAATATGAAAATTGGAGGACAGACAATCCCCCTCCGCAATACATACGTTGCCTAAAGAAATGCTTTTACTTTATTTCAGGCTTGGTACAACAGTCATTGCGCTGCAGAAGGCTCGGCCGCAGTAGACAATAAGCTGTCTAAACTGCCGGTTTCCGCCTCACCCGAAAAAATGAGATACTACATTCAATCAGTACAGTATTAGTAATTGGCAATGGTACTAACAACAAGATCAACAAAATCTGTACGGGCATAATAACGGCACATTCTGGCACCCGATTCCTTCTCCTGCCGCCGTTCTGATGCCACTTGTACTCGTGTTCAAAACATACGAACATATGCCTTGATTAAATTTTATCTACCTCCTCTCATTGAGATACACATTAAAGTGTGCGTGTACACAACAGCACCTTAAACTCGGTGTCTACAGTCTATCTGCAGTCTCCAATATCCATCCATTATTTCATAGGATAGAAAATAATCGTCCAATGCATCCGTTTTTCTCTTACCCGGGTTACGTCGTCAGGAATCAGCAGGCTTGCGGAGTGGAACAACCTAAAGTTGCAGAAAGCAAACAACAAATTTAGGATTCCATTGCTATATGACATGATAACATGGTCATAACATAATGCATTGAAGCCATAATTACCTGATCGTTACTTGAGGCATTAAGTATAAGCATTTTTATACTCTTACCGTCACATGAACGGACTTCCTTTTCTTCTTTAATATCTTCATCGACAAAGTTCTGATCTGTGACCTCTGCAAGAATTAACAAAGTATGAGTCAACACTTTCTGGCAGGTAGATGATAGAAATAGAAGTCTTGTTTCAGGCAATTGTAGAGAGAGAGTACAGATTATGATCTATTCGACCTTGATGGAGTAACATCCATCCTTACTTTGCAACACTGAAAATGAACATTGTCTAAAAACAGTGCATGAAAGAAGTCCAACCATATTACGAAATTCCATTATTCTTATTTCTATGTCCGGGCCATCTAAATCGCAACTACTTCACAGTGACTATAACTGAGTTCAAGTGAGACATGGTTTTTGAGATCTGTTTGCCACTGTTGTGAGGTCACTTTAAGCACGCCCTAAGCTACTTGGGTTGGTAGGGCGCCCCACTCACTGTGAGCGAGTAGCAAACAAACAAACTATAACTGAGGTCAAACCCAAAAAGGTAAAAAATCCAAGACTGAATTAATGAGGCACAATAATTGACTAATCAATTTAAGATTTTGAATCTCCCATTCAGTCAAAAACTATGGCAGGTGGGACTGTTTGTTTCTTCTGTGGAGTGATCATCGAGTAAACAGATGGCACAAAATGAAGACATGAACAGCAAAACACATAAAATCAATACCAGCACAGCAAATAAACAATGCGAGACACAGTTAGGCAAATATCTTCCAGCAAACACACCAAAATTTAGCTGAGAGCACCTGTATTCCCTCCAACCAATTCCTGATGGCGCAACTGAGAGTGAGATGCATGAAACTGCTTTGAGCATGTCGCTGGTGAACCCGTCATTTCCTTCTTCCTACTTGAATCGACTTCTTCACATTGTGATGCAGCCAGTTCTTGAACATCGGGATATTCAAACTCTTTGGGCTTGCCGGCAGATCTAAAGTGCACGACCCACGGATTTGCCAGGAGATCTTCATCTGCCTTATTTGCTTCAGCTTCAGCTCTTACAAAATTGATCTTCTGCCAACAGCCACCTCGAAGTACCTTAAACTGCAATAAACAATAAACTCCAAATGAATTAACCATAATCATACAATACAACATGAAAATCCATTTAAAGTAACAGATTGAATTCAGACCTGGCCGGAAGAGGCACGAGAGTTAAACTGCGGTTGCTTTGACAATTTATGGTGCAATGAATTCCCCTTTTGCGAGCTCCGACCACGCGAATCCATGGAATTATACAACTGGTTGACAAATGATGCTTCCATGGATTTGAGGTACATGCTGTGCTTCTCATCCGTCCATTCTGTAGACATGGTTTCCGTCAGAACCGGAGTACCCTAACATAAGTTACGCACAATGATCAGAAATCTTCAGGAAACATTCAAACAATTTCATACATCCTGACAATATATTACGCAAATAAAAAGTTCAAAACGATCATTTGAATTTTCTTTTTTGACATTCTTAAATTTCAATTAATATTTACCCAGATGAGCAGTTACAGCAGTAGCATGACAAATATCAGACATTATAAAAAGAAAAAGAAAAATTAAATAAAAACCGATATTTCTAATCAACATAAAAAGGAATTTATATTCTAATTATTTACAAAAATATATTGAATAAGTCAACCCCATCTGGGTGCAATTTCCATAGATCCCAGCTCAAAGATGAAAAATTTCTCATACAAAGTTAAGTTTAATTGGGTTTTTTTACTGCAAAATATGTAATTCTCAAGACTAAGAACTGGGAAACACAGAAAAAGATCAAAGTAACAATTTTGCAGCAGATAGAAAAAAGAGGAAGTACCAAGTTGTCGGAAGGAGGGTCCTCCGCCGCCGCAGCAACCCCGCCCCGCCGCTCACCGTTCTGCATAGAAGCCTTCAACTCTCTCCCCATGAAATTATTCATAATTACCCAAAAAAAACCCACTTCTCAGAATCTATGAATTTTTTTTTTTTTTTTTGAGTTCTGAAAATTTTCAGATGATTCGAGAAGAAGAAGAAATGGTTGGAGGAATGGGAATGTGAGGAAATGTGGAGGGGGGGGGGGGTTTGGGGGAGGTGATGGGAACAAAAAGATCGGTACAGTTGTCACGCTTTTTACACGTGTCGTGGGGCCATAGCGTTGCCACGTCACTCTGGGTTCGAGGGGGCAGCCCAGATATTTATTGGGGGAGCGCCCAAAATATCTTTTGTTGATTGATTTTCGATCTTTCTAGATTTCGTGGCGCCCACGCTTTTAACTGTCAACCCGCAAAAGCTTCTACGCGCGCGCTCTCTTTTGCTTTCGGGTCGGGTCGTTGGTCCAACCGTTTTCGTCTTGATATTTGTTTGGTTTCTTCCTTTCAACTTCTAGGTAAAAGATATTTGACATAGCACTTCCTGAATATATTTGACCAAAATTTAAACTATTAATAAAATTATTTTTGTCAATCAAAAGAAAATTTTATCATAAAATAAAATTATAGACAGTAACATAATTTTTCATAAACTAAATGTGTTGTTGTTTTTCAAACCTTGCATATGTTATCATAGCATATCTAAATTGTAAAAATTAAGAAAAACTTAGATTGTTTTTCGCTTTCTCTTTTCCTCTCTTACATATACACACGCACACACAAGTAGTCTGCGGGCTTCATCTAATATATTTTAATCAAATATTATTTTTTTAAAGGAAACAATTTGGCAATGACATTTAAGCTCATAAGTCGTAACCTTCTCTCAAATTTTTCAAGGATAAAGATATTTTTCAAATGTCAATTATTGAAATAATTCATTTTTCAATATGTTGTTAACATCTCATTTTTTACTACCAATATATATATGATTAATATGTCATCGATATTTAAGCAGTATGTTGTCAATTGTTTTTTTTTTTTTAACAATTTGTTTTAAAAAAAAATAATGAAAAGAGATTTTAAAAAAATTTTACCAATAAGATGGATAATAAAATATTAAAAAAAACAAGCAAGTGCAGGTCCCCATCCTCAATAAGTTATTTTTATTTATGAGAAGGATAATGTGCGGGTCCTTGGTCAGCTATTTTTATTTTATTTTTTTATCAAATGATATTATTTACACTAAAGAGTTGGGGGTGGGGTCTACGCTAAGTTTAGGGCAAGCAATAATGTGGTTCAAGTTTGTCTTTGGCAAGAATCAAACTTAAAACCTCACACTTACCATTGAAGATGAATATCATTCAACTGTAGTACTAAGTAGCCTAAATCAACTATATCTTTCTTTTTCACACGTTATTTCTCACTCTTCTTTCCTTTTCCCCTTCTCTTTCTATCTTCTCTCTCTTTAAGAGCACTTCCAACGTGATAATATCCCTTGCCCCACCAAAATCTCCTCCAACCCTCTTAAGTCCACTGGGCTATGAGGAGCTTAGTTAGTCCATCTCCAGCCGACCCCGTCAAATGGCTATAGTGCTAAAAATAGATCGGAATGACACGAAAACCATCTGTAAGGCCATCTCCAACCGAAGGTTCCAGAGGGCCAAAGGGCCGAAAATAGCCCGAAAACCATCTCTAATCAAGGGCTAGGCTAGAGGGCTCGTGGAATCTGAGAAGGCCCTACAGAATTTGAAAGGGCTGGCCTGAAAACTGATTAATCATGTCGGTTATAACCGACAAGAATTCTTAAAAAGAATTTTGAATCCAACGGCTAGCTGGCGCCAGTTACCGTTGGATTCTTTTTTCTTTTTTTTTTTTTTAATTCTATTTTTTTTTTCTATAAATACCTAAATCATTCCTCACAAAAATTTCACCATTTCAATTCTCATATTTTCCTTCCTCTTTCAAAAATCCATCCTTCAATTTTTTTAATAATTTTGAAATGGCCTTGTCTGCAATGAAAGGTAGGGCTTGTACCCAAAAAGAAGATGAAGCTTTTTGCAAGGCTTATAGATGGGTATCGGAAGATAGTGTCAGGGGGAACTGTCAAACAAATGACGGTGTTTGGACTCGTGTGTCCAAAAAATACTTAAGAGTTCTATGAAAGCACCACTCCAGTGAATATCAAAACTACAAGAGTTGTTCTTCAAGATGGAAGAAACATCTTCAGCCAAATTTGAACAAATGGCATCAAGCATTGTTAGCAGCCGCAAGTAGACATGAAAGCGGCACTAATTACTTACGACGAAGTAAGTCTTTTCACAATTTATTTTAAATATTTAATTATATTACATTTAATTTCATAAATTAATTTCCTTTAATTTTTTTCGAGGTACGCTAAGCAGAGGAATTGTATATGGACAGCAACTCGAAACCCTTTCAGTTTCACAGTTGTTGGGGAATTTGTAAAGGGTGGGTGTTATTTGAAGATCCACCACAGAGAGCTCATACGCCGGTGTTCAGAACTGCATCCTCAGCTGCAGATATGGATGAAGATGGATCTCCAACCATTCAACAAACAAGGGTAAAAAATCCGTCTTCGGTTAAAGGTTTCATACCTAGGGTTATGGGACAAAACAAGGCGTGAAGGTTGAAGGAAAAGGGTAAGGCAAATGATGATTACACTGCTCAACATGAAGTGGCGGCCTCATTGCGATTATTGGCGGAGCAAAATGCCCTTGAGGTGGAAGAAAAAAGTGTAGGCATGAAGAACAGGCCAAACAAATACAAGAAGAGATTGATGATAAGAATATGGAAAAGAACACTTCGAATTACACTCCTATAAGTAAGGCCTATTTTGATAGAAAAAAAGAAAAAGAAATTATGAGCCGACGACAGTTGTTTACCTTTGACTATACTCCTACGATGGCGGATGATAAAGATGATGTTGATTATGGATATTAAATTTAAGTTGTTGTAGTTTTTAAGCTTAAGTTAATGTTGTTTTCAAATTTAATTTGTAGTTTTTAAATTTAATTTGTCGTTTTTAAATTTTAGTTGTAGTTTTTAAATATAAATTGTAGTTTTTAAATTTAAGTTGTTGTTGTTTTTAAATTTAAGTTGTTGTAGTTTTTAAATTTAAATAATAAATTATGTTTAACCCTATGGCCCTTGGTTGGAGACGATTTTTTGTGACAGGGCTAAAACGAGCCCTCTGGCCCTTTGGCCCTCGGTTGGAGACGGAGGCAAATATGGCACTGTACTGTTTATTAAAATATTAATATCTTGGAGGGCCAAAGGGCTAAAACGAGCCCTCTGGCCATCCCTCGATTGGAGATGGCCTAATCGAGGGCTAGGACAAAGGTCTGTGGGCCCCATTGGGCCGAAACTGTCACATCCCGGCCCGGGCCCCCACCAAAACCCGGGCCCAATCCACCACCGTAGCACGATATTGTCCGCTTTGGGCCCCGACCACGCCCTCACGGTTTTGTTTTTGGGAACTCACACGAGAACTTCCCGATGGGTCACCCATCCTGGGAGTGCTCTCGCGCGCTACTCGCTTAACTTCGGAGTTCCCATGGAACCCGAAGCCAGTGAGCTCCCAAAAGGCCTCGTGCTAGGTAGGGATGGGAATATACATTTAAGGATCGCTCCCCTGGGCGATGTGGGATGTCACAGAAACCTCTAAATCAAGACGAACTACAATGGAAGATCAAAACAAGAGAGATGAAGGAGAAAGAGAAGTAATTTGGAAAGTTATTTTAATATAAAGATAAGATATTCGAAGGCTTACTCATTTAACGACAAATGATATTCAAAATATGTCCGAAAATTTTATTTTAATATGGTAGTTTAATTTAATTAACTATATTAATTTAGTTAAAATAATAAATTATTGAGGGGGTTATGTTTGACCTATGGCCGTTTGGCCCCGTCGATTGGAAATGAGTTTTTTGTCAAAGGGCTATGTTTAGCCTATGACCCCTTGAACCCCTAGGTTGGAGAGGGTATAAAATATGGCCTGACATTGTTTATTAAAATATAATTTTTTGCAGGGCTATAGGGCTAAACATGGCTCTTTGGCCTTCTCCAGCCAGCCAACCCTCGGTTGAAGACGGTTTTCGTATTATTCGGAGCTATTTTTAGCCCTATGACCCTTTGGCCGGATCGGTTGGAGTTAGAGATGACCTTAGTGCCCCACGCAATAATTGCCTAGCCTAGCCCCTAAGTTATGTGATGTCATGTGACGTTAGTGACACACCCCGACCGAAATCAAGGCGTGATGGCCGTCACGTGAAGGTAACGCAGCCATGTGCACAGTGCGGAAGCAATATTAATATAAGAAATGCAAATAAATAAAAACCCAACTAACTAGAGCACTAGATAAGATAAGGTGCAAGACAAAATAAGTGTGAATTCACAACCAGAGTATAAGTAGCCTAAGTGCAGTCCAGCATGACAAATACTAATTATACAACACCTAAAGATGACCATACAATGGTGATAATCTGTCAAAGCTACCATGGATTCCTAGCAAGCCACCAAAAAGCACTCCTAACTAGAACCTGGAGGGGCGCAAAACAGAAAGTGTGAGTGGGCAAAAACAAAGTTTTTCAAAACCATTTCAATTATCAAAGATAGTAACCCCTCGCCGTAAAACTTGTATAATTTCCCAGAAAATAGAATACATATCTATACCACAACCATGCTCATAATAGCAAAATCCACATATATGCCATATCAAATATCTCAGCATAAAAAAATATGTAAGCTAGGCGATATAAATCAATGCAAATAATATGTCAGCCGGAGTCACCTAACGTGACCTGTACAGCTCAAATCCACATCTCAACAAATATACCTGCACACGAGTTGGAACCACCTAAAGTGGTCTGTATGATAGGACTGGATGTAAATAAATACGCTCAAGTGCTATGATCACGTGAAGACTGTGCGAATGATTGTGGGTCACCTACGAGTCGGAACCATCTATAGTGGTCTGTACGACAGGACTATGCACCTAACTTGGATCCAAGGTGAGCGTATGGTGCATGAGGTGAACATCACGTGAAAGACTGTGCCCCTAATCACAGGTGGGAGCACTAACACTGAGGTGCAGGTTTATGAGCTCTCAACACATCATCAATTCACATAAACAATCTACAACTCACCTGAGCATCCACCGCGTCAAAT